AACAGGCCTTAAAGGATGCCGAAGCCTTTGTCCCGTATTTGACTGAACAGTTAGGTCTAGAAAATAGCAAATGGATAGCGTTTGGAGGTTCATATCCCGGATCATTGGCCGCTAGGTTTAGAGCTAAATACCCGCACCTGACTGTAGGTGCCGTGTCGTCGAGTGCACCCATGGAGGCGCGGCTTAATTATAAGCAATTTTTTGAGGCCGTAGGCGAGGATTTAGGGACAGACTGTTCACGATATATAAGGTATGTATGAAATAATACTCGTAAAGTATGTAGGCATTTGTAATAATCAGGGCTATTAGCGTATTTAATAGTTAATTTGTATAGTTTATTTGATACTGTACTAGCAAAGTAATGTTTTAATATATAAGGTATGTATGAAATAATACTCGTAAAGTATGTAGGCATTTGTAATAATCAGGACTATTAGCGTATTTAATAGTTAATTTGTATAGTTTATTTGATACTGTACTAGCAAAGTAATGTTTTCAGTAATTTATGAGAGTTTTAAAAATAATGCCTAGATACTAAAGTAGATAAAAATAGTTTACTTTATATAAAATTAAATAATCCATTATAAGGGAAGCGACTCAACAACTGGATGATGAACTAAAAGCCGGTCCCACGGGTTGGGAGTCCATCAAAAAACAGTTCAATGTGTGCCAACCCCTCAACGGCACCGACCCCATGGATGTCAACACTTTTCTCTTTGCGCTATACATGCAAATCGGTTACTCAATGATTAGCATAGAGTTTGAGCCAAACCTTCCGAAAATACAGACAATTTGCGATATTATGACGAATACCAGTGGCGGGAGTCGTGCTTTGGACAGATACTCGCAATTGAGCAAGGTCTTCCTACAGAAGCAAGGTTATAAATGTCTGTCTGCTGATTATAAATCATACGTCAAATATATGCAAAACAAAACAATACCTGTGCTCAAGGAATTAAGTATGCTACAATTCTCTCTCTCTCTCTCTCTCTCTCTCTCTCTATCGATCACTCACTCACTTAAATACATTAATTCACATAATAGTTAAACAGTGGACATACCAACAGTGCAATGAGTTCGGGCACTTTCCCACCACTGCCCTCAACGACCAGCCCTTTGCCGCAAACATACCGATCGAGTACTTCACCCAACGGTGTGCCGACATATATGGGCCCACATTTACACCGCAATACATGCAAAAGCAAATCGATTACACGAATGAATATTACGGTACTATTAGTACAATCAATATCACAAACACTGTGTTTATTAACCATTCACTGGATCCCTGGCACCCATTGGGAGTATTACATGATTTAAATAATAGTACCAAGGCAATATATATTCATGGTACAGGGCATGGCAGGGATATGTATAATGCAAAACCTACTGATCCCATAACCATTCACTGGATCCCTGGCACCCATTGGGAGTATTACATGATTTAAATAATAGTACCAAGGCAATATATATTCATGGTACAGGGCATGGCAGGGATATGTATAATGCAAAACCTACTGATCCCTCGGAGTTAACTGAAGCGCGTAAAACAATTGCTAAATATTTGGCATTATTTTTAAGTGAATAATAATTTTATATAATTTTGAAAATTATAATAAAGTTACAAATGGAGGTAAAATACTAACAAGTATAAAAGATTTTAGAATATTTAAAATAATTTATAAAATTAAAATAAATAGTGTATTAACAAAATTAAATATTTCACAATGATGTAATTGGTTGTTTATTAGTGAGATTAAAATTCAAAAAGTTTTAATCTTTGGTTGCAAATACACAGTTCAGTTTTGGCAATTGTTTTAATGGCTCTCGCATTGCATAAGTAATCTCTGATCGAGTGGTGATTATCAGTGACTGAAGTCGTGGCAAATGTGTATGAATTGAGTCAAAGTATGACTCGTTTAACACAATCCACGGTAAATATAGCGACAAATGTGTCAAACGTGTGAATCCCGAGAAAATCTTTACCGGAAACTCGTGGCTATTCTCACCATAACTTTGAAATACATGGAAATATAGCCGACGTAACCGGGGTCTAAATTGATCGAGGGATTCATATACTCGTGCAAACGCCGGCTCAGATAGCATACCGTCAATCATTAGGCTGTATTTAAGACGCTTTATTGTTTGCATTCAATGGCTACACGTTTGAGACCATCGATGAACGAGTCGCTGATCATTGAGTTATTACATGAGAAATGTAGTGATAGTTTCCGAAGAGCTTGAAGTTGTGGTAATTGTCTCAACACTTCCACCATTTGGGAGGTATTTATACCATAATAATTAACGCTAATACAGTGGAGTTGATCCTGATAGTAATTAACAAACAATGGCCAATATTTTAACTCATCATCACTCACTTTATCGTATTGTACGTCGAGTTTAGTCAGGGTTTTGACTAAAATTTCGTTATTTTTGCTAAATATTGCCGATAAACTGGAAAAAAATAGAGAAAGTTGGTTGAGCTTTGTAAACGACCCGGCGTACTGTCTAATTGTATCATGATAATTATGGTCATCATCAAAAACCGTCAATGCAGTCAATTGTGGGCCATATATGCCCAGAGTTTTGTCATCATTTTTTGGCTCATTATCTTCGTATAGTACCATCACTTCAATAGCAATCAATGAGTGTTTGTATGAATTCATGAGTATTTCAAACACTCTTTCATCCACTTCTGAATCAATCACAATATCAATGGATGTAATGTTTTCACACTTTTTCACCACTGTTTCAAATGTCTGCCAATTAATATCTGCTATTTCTTTATCAGTCCTTATCTGCCATTTCTTGAGTAACTTATAAGTTATTGAAGGTATGCGTTGTCTCAGAAATATAAGTTTCTGCCACTGTTTGGACAGACATTCAAATCGGAAACAGTCTTCAAATGATAGGTAAGACAATACGAGTCCACACAAGTCATCACCAAATCTGTCCAACGAGTCCTTCGGATAATATTCCTCTTGAGCCTCATTCACAACATTTGGTGAGAACTTTGAATAATATTATATAAAATTAAATAATAATAATTGTAAGTAATATTAAAATACTATACTTTAGCCCTTTTGGGTGGCAATTGATGACCACTTGTATGATCCGCGAGTGAATCCATGTCTCGATCGTTAGTTTAATATGCAGTGAATGTGTAAACATATACTGAAATGTAATATAAATCTAATGCTAAATATATGTTTATACAATATTATATAAGCAATTAATTATCTCTGTAGTCATAGTAACAGTTTAGATTTAAATATTGATTAACTTATGCTTATTTAACAATATTTTAGAGACACTACAGATTCACTCATTTCTGATACTTTTATAGTCGCCAACGTCTGTACTGTGGCTGAAAAAGAGGTTATGGGTTATGGGTTATGGGTTATGGGTTATGGGTTATGGTGTTTATTAAACGCCTGTCCGTACCGGTAATATTCCTCTCGAGTCTCATTTATGACATTTAATGCCACCTAGGTATAGAATGATTATACATTTTAGCTACTAATTAATAAGTTAAATGAAAATCTTATTAAATATAACTATTGATATTGAAAAATACTCTAGCTCTTTTTATTGACACTTGATGACCATTTGTATTGTCCATAGTATTAGAGTCCAAAATGTAACAGTTCAGTTTATTACGTAATGACAGTATATTAAATGCATATGATTTATTGAAATTGAATGGTCATAAATGTATAATAAACAAATGTGTTTATATTAACCGAGTTTAGTTTTTCTCTATACATGTAGTCATAGTGATTGTCTCGGTTTATAAATAAAAATCAAATTTAAACATTTTATATATAAATGATTTCGTAGTTTTTATTTATCAAGTATTGATTTTATTTAATGTCATTAGTAATGGCCCATTATTAACTAAGGTTTGTTTTAAAATATGAAACAGAATTATTATTTGATAACAATTTTATTTATATTCAAAAATTAAACATGGTCATTAATATATTTATAAATATAATTACAACAAGTCTTCACTGCAAAATAAACGTAAAATATTAAAGTACTAAATGACAGCATGGATAAACCGACCCACATACAAATATTACCACCAATGTTATAGTATAAATCATTATAGTCCATAGCCAAGTGTTCAGTGATTTGTGGCTCAAAGTAATAATTGGGTATTAAATTGATCTGGGTGTAATTTAAATTGGTTTTAATTTTAACAACGTTAGTCTCAACCATATTATTAACGCATAATTTATCTTGTTTATAGTAAAGTTTATCGCATTTATCATTTATATCACTGTCAATGGTTTCATTCACAGAATCCGTATAATTAGCACAGAATTTATACCCAGAATATTCCAAATGCTGTTCAATACCTATTTCATATTCCGGGCCATTAAGTGGTAGACAATGAAAAGTAGCGTTAAATTCATA